ACAACTGGCTTCCGCGCCCGGGCATGATGAGACCAATTGTGTCTTTGATTAATAACCCTCATGAGCTTGTTTCTGACATGTTAATCCCAGCAACTTCATCGTGGAATGAGACGCTGGTGCGTCGGGTGTTCTTACCTATAGATTCTGAGGCCATTTTGTCGATCCCCCTGTGTACCAGAAACATTTATGACTTCTGGTCATGGAGTGCTGACAAACGAGGTATGTTCACTGTCAAATCAGCCTACAAAATGATACTTCACATGAAAATCACAAGGGAAAATTGGATTGAAGAGGCCGCGGGCGCGTCAGGCGATAACAGGGAAACAAGCGACTGGTCGAAGCTTTGGAAGATTGATGTTCCATCTAAATTGAAAATGTTCCTATGGCGGCTGGCTAGATCTTCTATGCCTACTACGGATCTTCTTCAGCATCGGAACATGGCTACCTCGGCGGCATGCAGATTATGCGGAGCTAGAGATTCTTGGAGACATGCGCTTATAAACTGCTCAATGGCAAGAAGTGTGTGGGCTTTAGCTGATGAAGAAATGGTGGAGTTAATGTGCCAGTATGAATCTAAAAACACTAAGGAATGGATCTTCCAAATGAACAGCAAGTTATCGCATGATCGGCTAGTACGTATGGTGATCACGCTGTGGGCTATATGGGGAGCGAGAAGGAAAGCAGTTTATGAGGATATCTTTCAAAGCCCAATGTCAACACACTTATATATTCAGTCCTACTGGAGTGATCTCCAAGTCTTGAAAAAACCGCACTTTCAGCACTCACAGCCCAAGCCAGTGAGGCCCTCCCATTGGATCCAACCGCTTGATGAAGGTGAATGTAGATTCTGCGGTTTCTGGACGACGAGGTGTAAGCTCAGTGGCAGCAATTTGCAGAAACAGAGATGGACTCTATCTAGGCGCTTCATCGGTGGTATTCAGAGGGATAACTGATCCGACAACTTTGGAAGCTCTAGCGGTAAGGGAGGCTCTGGCATTGGCAGAGGATCTAAACATACAAGCTATACATGTGGCTTCGGATTGCTCAGTGGTGATAGATGATCTCAAGAGGAGAAGCGGGGCTGGTTATGGGGCTATTATACATGAAATACTAGAGTACTCTACTAGTTTTACTTCATGTAATTTTGTTCATGAATTTAGGAGCTCAAACGTCGAAGCTCACAATCTAGCAAAGCATGCACTTAAACTGGGGCTTGGTCGTCATGTTTGGTTGGGCCACCCTGGGGATCTTCATTTCGTCCATGTAAACTATGTGACGGATCAATAAAGGTTTGCTGATTGTCTCAAAAAAAAAAGTCGCATGGTCGCTGGAGGCCGGGTTTCTGGGAATCAAGCCGCTCTGGTCCTGAGTAGTTTTTGGTCCATACATATAACTGGCTAATGGCCCATACTTATATGGGCCTACTTTGGGCCGAAACTCAAAAACACTGAGACCGCAGCCCAATGAAACCCAGACCACTAAACCTCACTCAAGACAAAGATTCCAGTGGTTAAAAGAAGACAAGATTGCAAGATATGCATAGCCGACACAAGCTTCCAAGAACCGAAGGGCATCTTGCTTCCAAGAACACCAAAAAGGAAGGCCGAGACAGGACGCGAGAGGAGACAAGGACATGTCCGAGAGTCGACCAGAGCTGTCCGTCCGATTTTCTCCCACCTATCCACAGGGAGGGCCGACCCTGTGTGGCAGACGGACTCAATCCGCGAGTGTTGCACCTGCTTCACTCACTGGATGCTCTGGCTGCCCCGATTTTCCCACGACGTGGACGTCGGGTGAGATAAAGATGAGCGGAGCATAGTGAGAAGGGAGGAGAGAGGGCGGCGAGCTTGCGTGAGTGCTCCAGGATGCAGACCGATACTCAGTTCTCTTCGGCCGCGATGAAGAGGACCAGCGACTGGTACGTACCTTCGCTCTGCTGCCTGTTTGAATCTACGAGCTCGCCGCTTCTTTGGCGCCATGAAACTGTTCTCAAGCAAGCAGCAGCGTGCAGTGACAAGTACTCCGTATTTTATACGTGGAATGACATACTGAACCTGAAGTTTCATCCGATAAAAAATTTCAACTGGTTGGTGCAGGATCCGTTCGCAAGAATTCCCAAGCGATATTACCATCCAAGTTGGGGAGAGCAGCTTCAACCTTCACAAGGTAACCAACCAGCCCCAACTTTACTTTCCACCGCGTGTTGAGAGATTACAAGAATCGGGAGAATCGTGTTACAAGTTCTGATCACAAGTATGCGGATGTTCCTGCAGCTCCCACTGGCATCTAAATGCGGCTACATAAGGAAGCTGGTGTCGGGGGCCAACGGGTCCAGGGTGACCCACCTGGAGATCACGGGCATGCCCGGCGACGCCAAGGCGTTCGACCTCGTCATCAAGTTCTGCTACGGCGTCAACTTCGAGATCACCGCCGACAACGTCGCCATGCTGCGCTGCGCCGCCGAGCACCTTGAGATGACGGAGGAGTGCAAGCCCGGGAACCTCATCGGCAGGACCGAGGCCTACCTGGAGGAGGTGGCGCTGGCGAGCCTCGAGGGCGCGGTCACCGCGCTCCGCAGGGCCGAGGAGCTCCTCCCGGCGTCCGACAAGGTGCAGCTCATTGGCAGGTGCATCGATGCCATAGCGACCATGACCTGCGGCGACGGCAGCCATGAAGGGCTGGACGACGTGGGCGCGCCACCGAAGCCTGTCGATGACTGGTGGGCCGACGAGCTGACGGCGCTGAGGATCGACACCTTCCAGAGGGTCATGATCGCCATGAAGGCGAGGGGGTTCAAGGGCATCGCCATGGGGACGATGATCATGCTCTACGCTCAGAAGTCTCTACGAAGATTGGTGAGTCGATTCGAGCACATCACCACACTCTTGCTACTACTAGCTAACGTGTCTGGCACTGTCGACTTGTAACTTGTTGCAGGACATGAACGGGAGGGAGCGGAAGAAGATGGAGCCGAGGCAGGAGCACGAGAAGCGGGTGGTTCTCGAGACGATCGTGAGCCTCCTGCCGAGGGAGAAGAACACCATGTCAGTGAGCTTCCTGTCGATGCTGCTCCGGGCGGCGATCTACCTCGACACGTCGCTGGCGTGCCGGCTCGACCTGGAGACGCGGATGGCCGCGCAGCTCGGCCAGGCCGTGCTCGACGACCTGCTCATCCCGTCCTCCTCGCCCGAGGGCGCAGGCACGGCCTACGACGTCGACGCGGTGCAGAGGATCCTGGCCGGGTACCTGGAGAACGAGGGCGAGGCGACGCGCCTGGACTACAACACGGACGACGACTTCGCCTCGGCGGCGTCGCCGCCCAACGACGTCGGGCCGGTCGGCAAGCTCATGGAGAGCTACCTCGCCGAGATCTCCTCGGACGTGAACCTGCCCGTTGACAAGTTCACCGGCCTCGCCGAGCTCATCCCGGAGCGCGCCCGGTTCAACGAGGACGGCATGTACCGCGCCATCGACATCTACCTGAAGGTCCGTTCATTAGAATAGATATTCATTCGTTTACTTGTTGTTATAGTGGATAGTGCTCAAATGTGGTCGATGGTTTGGGCAGGCGCATCCGTCGTTGGGCGAGGGCGAGAGGAAGAAGGTGTGCGGCGTCATGGACTGCCAGAAGCTGTCGCGGGAGGCGTGCGCGCACGCGGCGCAGAACGACCGGCTGCCGGTGCAGACGGTGGTGCAGGTACTGTACCACGAGCAGCGGCGCCTCCGCGTGCCGCCGCCCTCGCAGGCGCCGAGCGGCGCGCCGTCGTACGCCGGGGGGGAGTCGCCGGCGGTGTCGTACGGGCGGGAGCGGAGCGCGCCGTCCAGCGAGGTGTCGCGGCTGCAGCGGGAGAACGACGAGCTGAGGATGGAGCTGATGCAGATGAAGATGCGCCTGAGGGACCCGTCGGGCGCGGCGCCGGCCCCGGCGCCGCCACTCGCGGCGGGGGCAACCCGGAGCTTCCCGTCGTCGGGGAAGCCGCCACTGCCGAAGAAGCAGGGCGGCAGCGGCGGAGGAGGCGGCGGCGGGTTCATGAAGAAGCTCGGGCGGCTGAACCCGTTCGTGCGCGACCCTCTGGGCGGCGGCAAGGTCCGCACGAAGCCGCCCAAGGATCGCAGGCACTCCATTTCTTGACACTATCGGATGGTGTGTAAACTTGAAGATAAATAAGCATCTTAGCATGGACGTAGCACTGTACAGCTTTATAATCTGCGTCTCAGTTCGTGTCAAGTTCCTACAATGAAGAAACTCAGGCCATTGTAGCAAAATTTTGCAACTCGGGGTTCAGTCTGTCAGTGTAGTGCAGTTCTGTTCCACTGGCCACCGCGATGTCGGCCGATCGGATCACTGCGCGCTCTACGATTACCACAACGCTGGAAGATGGAAGCATCTGATGTCGATCTCAGACGATCCTCTCCCGTTTCTTGTGTGGGGATTGCGATAACGTTGGTATGGCTAGCAATGCATCCCCCTCGGGACAAACGACAACCAGCACCGAAATGTGGCCTGGGATTTGGCCCTGGTAGATAACCACGCCATATGGGCACGGGACTGTCCTTACAACAAACAAAGAGGCGAAAAGGAAAGGAGATCAGTGGATTTCCATTCTCCTATCCTAAGAAAGGATAGCAACATTGCGCCCCTACTCATCATGGATCAGTCGGCAACACTCAACACGTCTAGGCTCTCTGTATGCACAATACACGACAATTCAGGGCAAAACTCAACCAGTTTGGTTCAGGACATCAAGCGTTTTATAGGGCACACGTCTGCCTGGGTCAAAAGAATCCTAGTAGAGTTCCATAGCAACACAATGTTCAAGACAAGCCATTAATTACCTATTCCACTTTTTACATAGGTGCAGTACTAGATACGTGTGTGTCTCCACAGGCGCACATCAGCTTCCGATCACAATGCGATTAGCTGTGCCACTCTATCCAGACGTCGCTAAACCGTAATTGGGCGCACAAAAAGTCAAGCTATATCTTCCTCCTCGTTGTTTTCATCGGGAAGCCATCGACCAGAAGTTCAGCAGGAAGGAGGGCGTGAGAGCAAACCAGCTCATGAATGCCATCGCCGTCGCGGTCTCGAAGCTGCCACAGTGGTTCTCGGCACAGATGTTCAGGTCGTTGTCGATCAGGACCGTGATGCCTGCCGACGAGCATGCTGCGCCGAAGATGAGTGCTGCCGTGATCTACCAAGAAACAGCAATGATTCGCTATATTAGACCTCACGCAGTCAAAAGAAATGCATTTATAATTTCCAGGATGAAACTAACATGCAGGAACTTGCAATAAAAATGCAGTTTCATTCAATTGTCGTAATCTGAGCACGTACACTGCAAGATTTCTTAGTCTATACACCACACAGCCAATATTGTTAGTAAGAAGAATGATGGAAAAGCGCTAGGTTACTAGATACACGGAAAAGTTCACACGGGTAGCAAATTTTATATATATATCAGCACATATTATTCAGATCAAAAAAGATGATACAGAAGATTGACCAAGTAAATCTCACAAGCATCAGAGACATGAACAGAGATGTATATTGACTTACCCCATCTCCAATTGCGAACAGGCAAACAGCGCGGCGGTTCCTTAGACAACGCTTAACAAGCAATGCATAGATATCAACAATCCCAAGCGAGAAGCTCCATAGGCATTGCAATATGGTTGCTGCAACAAGATAGCTGACAAAAACAGCACTCCGTCAGTTTGTCAGAAACTAAAAATACAGAATAGCACTGCCAGAGTAAATTTGAGAGCAGAAGAAACAAGCAAATAAACTAGACACAAGAGAGCTTCCTTTTATAGCTCAAAAGCATGAACACAATCTGTGTTGCTTGCCGTAAACTGGGCCAACAAAGAAGTGCCCACCCATGTCTGCCTCACTAAAATACAAAATGTAGATCATCCACTCATCACTCACTCATCACTAATGCAAATGTTGAATTTCTGTTACGACAGGCATGCCCATATAATAAGCAGTAACAAAACCAGAGAAACCTATATGTTCAAGAAGGCTTAAACTTGGAAAATGTAAAAGGAGCAGCATGATAGTTTTAGATGTATAAGTATAAGTTCCTCTTAAAATGTTACACTGAAGTACATAGTACGATCGGATTTCCACATTGTAGTATGATCCTAGGGGTATTTTTTTTATCTACGATCATTCAGAATAACTACATAATTAACTTGAAAGGTTGGGACTAAGTCGTTTTATACAAACCCAACATACTTGTACCAGGAATTGTATAGTAAGGTAAACAGTGCCACAAGAGTAGTTTGTATCAGGAAGACCTTGGTTTCTATATATGGAATCAGAAGGGGTGGCCCCTCTTTTCTTAAAAGAAAAAACAGTCCCAGAATCACACACACACACACCCTTTCATTTTATCAAAAAGTTACTTTGAAGTACGTATGATAGCAAAAAGAGGAAAATGCCTGCTAGCCCCCCAGTCTTTGCCAAAAGGAAATTTTGCGCTACAACTCAATTAAGGGTGTGTTTTGTTGGGGTCAAGTGAAATGTAATGGGTCGGTACCGTCCCCAGAGCCCATTTCAGTGTTTGGTTTGTCAAAGGAACGGGAACCCACCGATTCTGGAGAATGGCATATTCCCTGTTTATGCGGAACTAGGCGGTACCTCCAAATCGAGCGGACGACACGGAACGGCTCGCTCGACTTTCGCTCGGCTTTCCCTCCCCGGCGCCACATCTCCCTCCCCAACCTTGCACGCGCCACCGCCATCAGCCCCACAGCGCGCGGCCATGAATGGCCACCACCGCATCCGGCACGCTTGCAGCCGCCCCGGCCACCCCCTCGTTTCCCCCTCCCCTGCGCCGCAGCTCCCTCCGTAACCTTGCGTATGCTCCCGCCGACAGCCCCACCGTATGCGGCCATGACTGGCCACCGCTGCATCCTCGCGCTGGCGCTGCTTGCCGACCCGCCAGCCGCGTCCCAGCCGGGCGCACCTGACGCATCCCACCGAGCAGGGAGGTCGGGCGGCCCTCTTAATCATCTTCAGCAGAGCAGGGAGGCCGGGAGCCCTCTCACTCGTCTCCTTCCACCGGGCATGGAGGCTGGGCGCACCTAAGGCGCAATCGTCAGGGAGCTTTGGCTGCTGGACCAAGGAGCCTGTGGTGTGCAGTGACATTTGCCATGGGTGTCTCTCCAGATCAATATACTGCAGCGTCAAGTACATCTGTTCTTCTGTATTCAGCATTCAGTGTTACGTGGGTGTTCTTCTGTACTGCAGCGTCAAGTACATCTGTTCATTACAATCGATGTAATCAAGTGTTCAACATTCAGTTCAGTTTAGTTTTCTATCAAAATCTAATTCGATATGAATCAATGTAATAAAGTGAGACGAACAATTTCATTCCATTCCATCTCTCAAACCAAACACCAAAATGTAACCATTCCATTCCTCTGAACTGCTCCTACCAAACATAAGGACGGAACCGACCCATTCTAGTGGAATGGGACCATGACATTCCGTTCCACTTTGTTCCCCAACCAAACACACCCTAAAAGAACTCCATAATATGGATAAGACATAAGGGATCTCTGTTTTACTCTGGTAGATAATGTAACAATCCACTGTTCTGCCCATGGCAGTTTCATAAATAGTGAACAGAAATGCAGTTTAGTACGTTGAGGATAAGTAGAAAAGGACATGTGGATGTGATATTTCTGTTCCTATTGTAGTTCACTAGTTTGTGACATGGGGATTGTACCCCTGAGATATTCAGTAGACACTGAACCACAAAGCAAAACCGTCAACAACAACAAAAACCATGTTTCCTATTGTAGTTCACCAGTTTGTGACATGTTCATATGCATGTGGTGGCATTATATTCCTAATGATGTGACATGAAATTGCATGTTTTTTGGAAGTAGCAAATAGATTAATCTTACAATTAGTTGCTTTGCTTCTACAATCCTTGGCTTCATATAATTAGTCTTACTAATAATTTCAGAATTCAAGTACTGCGCGCACTCCCCTGTTTTTGACACTTCGATCCAGCATACTGTCATCTCACCTTGAAATCGTGCACGTTCAGTGGAATAGCACATAGCAGGGGATTGTACTACAATACAGAATTGTCAAAATAAATAAATAAATACGCCCTATTTCTGGATAACAATAGTCTTCACATGATTACATTTGCTTGCCTCCTCCATAAATATACTGTACTATGTATACTTATCCGCCTTGTAAATGTCTAAAGCTACTTTCTATGCATGCCAGAACACAAGTGCCTTAGTGATACATTTAAGCACATTCTTGTCATTTTTTCAGAGGAGAAGTCCGTTGTCGTTAGAATTTGTTTTTAGCTACCTATAGTATGCAATACTAGATGATGATACTCAGGCAGTAGTAGGTCACTACAGATAAGCTGATGCCTTTTAGTCCTCATCAATTAGGCAATCCATTACATTCAAAATGGAGAAAGTCGACCAGAAAGATCAGAAGGTAAGTGTAACGAACTTATAGTTCAGAAGGTATAGTGTGCTGAGGCTGGTACCCAACTGCCTCCAAATCCACACTCCTATAGTTCGTTCTGAGCTGAGGCAGGGGTGACCATAGACACATGTTTCCACAAGTTGCATTACAAGCATCACTCCAAGCTTTGGGAACCTATTCCCGAAATGAGCTAAGCTCCAACAGATGGAGTGCCTAGAGTACATAGCAGATCATATTTTCCGTTCTTGAACACCGAATTCCCCACGGACGCAAGCTTTAAGAGCGCGCACACACTTGACCCACCGGTGCATGTAAGATCATATTTCCTTTCTTGAGCAACGATTGGAAGTAGTAGTAGAATTGTAAAGCGATTGATGCTCAGGCCCTACACAGCCAGTTGGCGCAAATACTAGTACTAGCGCGGATGATGAGAAACCACCGGGATGGGGACTGGGGAGGGAGGTTACCAGAAGGCGCTGACGGAGGGGAAGTCGTTGGTGGAGGCCATGACGCCGAGGGCGACTCCGGCGAAGGCGAACTGCGCGAGGCGGAGCGCGAGGCCGCCGGCCGTGCCGGGCATCCCGGGCAGGTCCTTCATGAGCACCCCCGTGGGCTGCTCCACCGGATCCGTCGGCGGCGGCGCCTCCACCGGGTGCACCGCCGGCCTGCTCGCGAACATCTCGGCCCCCGACGGTACAGGCTCCCCCTACGCGCTCACCTCCCGCCTCGCCGCCGCGGGACCGGTGGGGGCTGGGCGAAGAAGGGTTTGGCCTCGCAGGGGACTGGATTGGGCGGAGTGGAGGAGGAGGGAGGGGCCACACGCGCCGGGGTCGACCGGGGAGGGGAGGGGGGGCTCGGGGGAGGCGCTGCTTGCCGTTGGTTCCCCTTGCTTTTGGCCGGGGGGAAAGGCGACGGCAGTTTCTGGGGAGCTGCAGCTGCGACGGCACGCCGTGGGGTCCCTCCCAGTCTCTCTCTCTCTCCCCTCCGCGGCTCCGTGTCCGAGTGGTGGAAGGAGTGGGAGGGAAATGGGCCGGGGCTGGGCGGGGCCGGGCGGGGCTGACTTTGCTTGCTTGCCCGTGCCGCCACTGTGCGGTGGCGGGCCCCCTCCGCCCGTCCTTCTTTTCATCTGGGCCCGCCCGTCTGTAACTCTGCCAGTACTCCAGCATTTTTCCTGCCAGTGCGATTTACCCCGTACGGATCACTAGCGTAGCGTCAAGCAAGGGGCAGACAGACGAGCCGTTTGGTTTGAGCGATCCTGTGTCGTGTCACGAGCTGGCCCAGAAGGCCAGAACGGAGGTGGCCGACGGCGGAGATCACGACCGCGGTCGGTGCAAGCGTACAGTCCAAGCCGCGGCCGTTGCACGGACTGACGCGCCTCATGTACGTATCTTTGCCGCGTGGCTTATATTCCGTCCCCCGGCGCCGGGACGGAACGAACGCGCGCGAAAGGGATCCGAGCATGGGTGGTGGAAGCGTGGCCATGCCATGTTGCGCGTTGCCGTTTGGGTGCGGTATCGGCGCACGCCGGAGAACGCGCATTGCCGTTTTAGCAGCGAGAGCGCGGGCGCAGCTGGCGCGGCCGCGCGGATTCGTTCGGCCGTCGCCATCACACCGTGCGGAGGAAAAATCAGTGCGCGTGCGGGGAAAAATCACTGCAGACCAGGTCGGCCCGGAGAATTTAGCGCCGGCTAGAACCACCGGCCGGCCTAAATACAACCACACAAGGCTATTCCGTGGCCCACCACTATTTATATATATATATGAATTTTGATTATAAATAACGGGTAGTAGCATGTAAACAGTGGCCGCATGGGACATGTGGTTAGCAAAATCAAAATCAACAGTAGTGCCTTGACTAGGTTCGTTATACAATTTCATTTCCTGTGTATCTTCTTCGGTTAGTCGTCGTCTACTTCCAGCCTTCGACCGTGCACGGATATATATTCTACAAAGAGGGCGGAAAAGATCACAATATTTCATGGACCGTTGTCCAACCCTCTACAAGCCTCAAGTTTTCCTTTTTAGAAAAGCATTTTTTTTAGGATACGCAAAATGTGTACCTTAGCTCTACCACTCGCTGCGAACAACGAAGGCGACCAACTTCACATCCGGTTCGTACAAGGTCAACCAAACACAACAACACAGCTACGACACAAAAAGCCTACCCAACACCGAGCCCCTCGCCGCGTCTCGACCGACACTAAAGACCTCCAAAAAACAGCAACTCCACCTTCCTTGGAATAGCCAGCGACGACCGTACATGGCGCCGGAGGAGAAAGATCCAGGCAGCGGTGAACACCGGAGGAGCGCATCATGGGACCTCGAGTCTCCCAACACAATGCTCCCAATAGAGTAACAACCTCAAAGACGTTGCCATCATGCCGATCCTAGGAATCAAGGCTTTTGCCCCGGAGACAGTTGCCGATACGAGGTCGCGAGGAAGATGGCGTTGCACTCGGTGAAGCCTCCAGGAAGGTGAATGACACCCGTAGGTGCCATCAACGCCGGTCTGGCCACAACCGAACAGGATTTTCATCCGTAGCGCTGCACATCTCCGCGTCTCCAAGATCCCGACCAGTCCCGATCAGATGCCTCGCACCGCCGTCACCGCAACAACTTGCCATCGAAGCCCCCTGTCGGTGTCAAAACCGGCGGATCTCGGGTATGGGTCCCGATCTGTGCGTCTAAGGCTAATGGTAACAGGGGGCAAGGGACACGATGTTTTACCCAGGTTCGAGCCCTCTCGATGGAGGTAAAACCCTACTTCCTGCTTGATTGATCTTGATGATATGAGTATTACAAGAGTTGATCTACCACGAGATCGTAGAGGCTAAACCCTAGGAGCTAGCCTATGATGATTATGATTGTCCCTCTAAGGACTAAACCCTCCGGTTTATATAGACACCGAAGGGGGATAGGGTTTACACAGAGTCGGTTACAAAGAAGGAAATATAATATCCGAATCGCCAAGCTTGTCTTCCACGCAAAGGAGAGTCCCATCCGGACACGAGACGAAGTCTTGAGTCTTGTATCTTCACGGTCCAACAGTCCGGCCAAAGTATATAGTCCGGCTGTCCGGAGACCCCCTAATCCAGGACTCCCTCAGTAGCCCTTGAACCAGGCTTCAATGACGATGAGTCCGGTGCGTAGATTGTCTTCGGCATTGCAAGGTGGGTTCCATCTCCGAATACTCCAAAGTAATTGCCGAACACTTAAATCATGTCCGGATCTGTAAGACGATTTTCACATACCACCGTAGAGAGAATGATATTTTACAAATATAATCTGCTGAAAACTTTAGATGAAGTGACACGATAAAATGGTCGAGTCATTATTGAATCGTCTTCCCACAGCCAGCTATCGCACATATCGAGGCGGTTTCCTCGGCACGTCTTGTCAAAGCAGAGATCATGTCCCCTTATCACGGGATTCTCATCAATACGGGTACGGGTAACCCAACCGCGCCATCAATCATGGCGCTTGGGAAATAAGTGATTTTCAACGGGCAAGTGGGGAGGTGCACCGTTTTCGTCGCCTCTATAAAGGGATAAGGATTCCTCCATTTTACCCACGCCTTCTTCCTCCTCTGCTTATCCATTCTCACACCCTCGAGCTCCAGTGCCCTAGTTCACGCCTTCTCCGTACAGCCAAACATGTCCGGAGCAGAAGGTAAGTGGGTGGCATCCACCGTGAAGGAGGAGAATATTACGAAGCTCCGGGCGGTCGGATACTTGGTCGCAGATATCGCGCACCGGCTACCGGATGCAGGGCAGATCATTCCAACTCCGGGACCCCAGGAGAGGGTCCTGTTTCTCGCCCACTTCGTTTATGGACTGGGATTTCCACTTCATCCCTTCGTCTGCGGGATCATGTTTTACTACGGGCTAGACTTCCATGATCTAGCCCCAAATTTTGTCCTCAACATCTCAGCGTTTATCGTCGTGTGCGAGGCCTTCCTCCGCATCAAGCCTCACTTCGGCTTGTGGCTACGAATCTTCTGCGTGAAGCCGAAGATCGTGAGCGGCCAGCAAGCGGAGTGCGGAGGCGCCATGGTGGGCAGGATGCCCAACGTTACCTGGCTTGACGGCTCCTTCGCGCAGACCGTAAAGGGGTGGCAATCGGGGTGGTTCTACATCACCGAGCCACGCGCGCCAACTGGGGGCGGTCCCTGAATTCCGATCTGGAATTCCCATGCGGCTCACCTCCTGGGAAAAGAAGGGCCTGGCCTGGGGCGAACCTGAGGATCTGACAGGACTTGAGAACTGCATCAAGAGTATGATGGACAAGAAGATCAAGCTTGTCAACGTGGTCCAGGTTATGCTTGTCCGCCGCATTCTTCCGTGCCAAAGACGGGCATTTACTCCGTGGGAGTTTGTTCCGGCCGAACACCGGACACTTCAAGAGCTCTACGGCACGACACACAAGGACGCATGGAAGGTGTTGTTCAAGGCCTCCGAAATACCTCCTCCCACATCCGAGGACCGCGGACTTCATGCCACGCGGCCCCCCAGTCCGGTGAGTTTTCTGACCATCGCCAGATGTAGTTTTCTCAGCATACTCATGGGAGGGTTTTAAGTCGTCGTGTGTCTTTAATCAGGAGTACGTGGTGACGGCGGAGCAGATCGACTGTCCGGCTCCACTACCAGAAGGTCCAACGACCACTGTCCTGACGGAGATGCTAGTCCCGGCGCCTTACAAGGTGCCGGAAAAGAGGGCCAAAAAGAAGGCCCCGAGGACCAGGAAGGGTCTCCTACGTAAGGTCGTACTGGAAGCCTCGTCCGAAGACGATGAGGCACGCTCCTCCCACGAAGGGGTGGAGGAAAAGGAGAAGGAAAGGGCCGCCCCATCCGGGGAGGCCGAGGGGCCTAAGAGGGCGGCCCAGGGGACCAGGAGGGGTCCCCGACGTAAGGCCGTCATAGGCTCGTCGTCCAAGGACGACGAGGCAGATTCCTCCCGCGGAGGCGGGGGGAAACACGAGGAAATTCCGCCTCCTCGCACTGGGGAGGAGAAGAAAAGGAAAGCCGCCCCGGAGGGGGAGGCTAGGACGCCCAAGAAGGGGAAGGCGTCCCTTCCAGATTACTCCACCACGGCCGCCTACAGCGAGGAAGAGTGGCTGCCCAGGGGGAAGCCCCTAGTAAGATCATAAGTATCCGCACTCTGTTGTACTTTAGTGCTACTTCGCTTCATAGTCTGTTATAATGCCGAACACGTATATGTAGTCCGGCCAGGGCCCATCCCGAGGTATCCTCTTCGGATGGGTCTTTGAGCGATTCAGTGATGAATTCGCTCCCGACGACTACTTCCCCTCGGCTTGCGGATGACATGGAGGTGTTGTCCCAAAGGCTCCCAGAGCCGGGGGAGGCGACTCTGGAGACGCCCCAAGGTGAAATTCCAGACGCCGGGCACACGGGGCGTAAGATCCCTGCAGATGGTGCCGGCGAGAGACGTAACAAGTTAGGCTCCCAGCCGGACACTGTACCAGAACCTCCAAAGGTTCCGGATTCGGGCAGGCAGCCCCTCGCTAAGGAGGGCGAGCCGGCCGTGCCGATGACTTCCGTTACGCCAAAGGCGTCGGATAGTCTGCTGGAAGCGCTTCGCGGCGCTTCCATGGATGAAGAGCATCGTACTCTTATGAGTGTGGTGATTCAGAAGGTTCGGTCCGCCAAGAGTGGATTGACC